CTGCAATAGTTTCCCCTTTTCAGCCATAAGATTTTCGTTTTCTTCCTTGTAACTTTGAATCTCTTTCTCAAGCCTAATTTGCTTATCTTTAAGTCACAGCAGGAGATCCCTGGCTCTTCCCTCAATCACCTCATCACCATCAAGAAAGTGGAAGAAATCGCATGCATTCCCAGCCTTCCCAACCTTCCCAACCTAAATAGCATGAAATTAGTAGTTTAGAGTTTTTTCAAAAATTTTCGTTCTAAACATGAACAGCTCACCTCAAATTTAAGACATCCCCAAAATCTTCTTCCCATATTTTGGTAAGTCAGTGACGTTCTCAAAACAGCATCCAAACTGCACCTGCAAACATATTTTTTTCCAAGAAAGCTACTAGTTGATGCAAAATCAGTGAACGAGTTGCTTCGTGAAAGCCCACCCTCCATTTTGAACGAAAAAACAAGAGTTTCGAAAGCAAGAAGATGATTTCTAGAAAGCAAGAAGATGATTTCTAGAAAGCAAGAAGATGATTTCTGGAAAGCAAAAAGATGACTTCTGGACAGGGAACTAGAAAAAAAAATTGGAGAATTTAGGGTTATGTTCTGGTAGGGTTCATGGACAATCGACTTCTATTTACCGCGTATTTCAGAATGTGGGTCCCACTGTTTATGGTTTTTTCATTCTCGCACGCGGGAGAGTGACGTGATGAGTGACGTGGAAGGTGTCAGAAGTCCACGTAAGCATTTTTAACATGTTGGCATACCCACGTCAGCTGTTCCAATTAAGTTAACGTGCCACGCAAGCAAAATTTGACGGAGGGACTAAAAAGGGGCCGGATTTTAAAGTTTAGGGATCAAAAAAGGGATTTGTTCGGTACAAGGACCAAAAATGGGCTTTTTCTTATAGTAGAGGGACCAAAAAGGGTATTTAACCAATGATTTATAGCCATTGTGAGAAGCCAAAATCTTTTTCTTGATCTAAAAAATCTCAAGGATAACACTTCTCAACAAGTTTATATATATCATTAATATTGAATGATTTAAAGCCATTGTGAGGAGCCAAAGCTAAGTTCAAAGTAAGAAGTTCTGTAACTTGCTAATTGAGCCTAAAATTCAATTCTTTCAATTGATAATTTAATACAGTTGTAAATATAAACATTTGATAGTGATACTTAACTATCTCATCATCCTTTTTACAAAGAGAACAAATTATGTCACAAAAAGAAGCACTCAAATCAAGAATTTGGATGAAATGAGGCTCAAGGAAAGAAGTGGCATCATGTAAAAGAAAATCCCAACCACCATCTCTTACACTTGAAGCAAAAGTTTTGTACCAAATACTAAACACATAGCATTTAAAATATCTTGATTTTTTTATTATAAAGCTTGAGAAAGTTGATCAATAATTCCCATGATTTCTTTCATCAAATGTAAAATGAAAACAAAACCGAATGATAGCAATGACTCAAGAGCAAAAATATCATCATCTTGTTAAGAGTATGTGGATCCTTTATCAACCACATTTTTAGGAATTGAGGTAGTTGGACTAAACATTTGCAAAATATTTTATATTGACTTAAAATGAGAACTCTATCTTATGTTTGTTGGTTTTTCTAAAGTGCCTAATTGATTGGCTTCTTTTCCTGTTTCAATCTCATTAATTTCAACAAAACAAGCAATTTCAAATGTAAATATAGCTTGTAGTTTAATCATGAGACTTGCAAAATGAAATGAAAATAGTAATTATAGAAGTCAGATTCTTAAAAAAAAAAAAAAAAACATGAACATCAACTGCTTCTCTAGTTACAATAATAAGAGTCAATTGTAATTGATGAGCTAAGCAATGCATATAATAAGTATAAGGACATTTTTGCAAAATTAATGATTGTCATCTATTCCACTCTCCATGGATATTACTAGTTCTATCATATGCTTGACCTTGAATGTTTTGCATGCTTGGATTGTTACTGAATAGAACAAAACAAATATATTATTTAAGAGTTAATGCATTTATGTTTCTCATAGGTACTACATCTAGAAGACACTTCTCGACAAACCAATCTTTATCAACAAATCTAACAACGATCAACATTTGTTCTCTTTTAGATTCATCACGAGCTTTACTAACAATTAAATAAAACTTTGTATCACCAATCTCTTTACAAGTTTTTGCACAAATTTTAGCTTGAACTTCTTTAGCAAAAACTTATAAATCCCCTTTTGAATGGTTGGGGAAGTATATTTTGCATTTTGTGGGGCATTCCCTAAGAGAACTTCATTCACTTTTTATAAGAAGCCAAATGATTAATCATCTTAAGAAAATTACCATAGTTTTTTGAATCCAAACTTTCCTCATGCCTTCTAAAGGCAAAAGCTTGAAAATTTAATCATCTAATAACATCAATAGTGTTGACTCAATGTACTCCAAGAGGAGGGTGAATTGGAGTTCCAAAAATTCTCCCCTTTTTGCAACCACAAAACCAAAGTTAAAGAGAGTAGAGAAGAAGAGCTTGCACAATGAATTATAGAGGTTCGGTGCAACCACTTGGAGCCTAGTCCTCTACCTTGGCTTCACTCACCAATGATTTCCTCCACACTCTTCACTAAGAAAGACAAGGGTGGCTTAAAGGAGCCACTCAATTCTTTTACAAGAAGATGAGTATTTCTCTCAAACCTCACCCCTTTACAATGTAAACCCCAAGAATACTCTCAATAGATCACTCTTGAAGGAATAATCACACCCCTAAGAATATACATTAATAGAACAAGAAGAGGATTACAAGCAAAGATCACTCAAAGATCAAAAACTCAAGTTAAAGCTCGAGTAGGTAGGTAAAGATATTCAATGCAATGTTCTCTAAAATTCTTCAAATCTGTTACCAACCATATTTATAACCTTTTGCTCAAAAATAGCCATTTTTAGCCGTTGGGGGTCATTAAATGCTCTGCAGGACGCAAAGCTCGAGTTGCAGGATTGTCAAGACAACCAACTTAACTTCTTAGAGCCTGCTCTGCACAGTCAGCTCACCATTTCTGCACATTCTGTTTTCTCCGTAGAGCCGGCTACAAAACGCAAGGTCGACTTTGCGGGTTTGCTGAACATTCTGTTTTTTTGGACAATCGGCTGCAAAAACGTAAAGTCGACTTTGATATTCCGACTTTAAAAATATTAATTATTCTTTAAATAAGTCGACCGTTGTGCATTAAATGCACCTTTACAGCCAACTGTAAAGTTAGAGCCGGCTTTGCGTCTTTTCTCCGCACGCGCCAAACAACGAACCTTTAAATCTTTACCCGTAGAGCCGGTTGCAGCTTCTAAAGCCAGCTCTCTGCACTTCCATTTCACCAGAGCCGGCTGTAGCTTTCAAAAGCCGGCTGCAGCTTTCAAGAGCCGGCTCTCTGCACATACTCAAGCCTTTCTGGTCCATTTTTAAGTGCAGTCCAAGTTTACTTATTTTACAATCTTTTGACATTTTAACTACACACTTAAATAAACCAATTAGACACTCAAATGTGTTTTGTAATTATCAAAATCATAGGTACAACAAAGAGAAGCTTTGAGACGTAATCAGTTCTTCTCAATATGTTATGAGCCTTGTTTGTGTAGCACCCTTTCAACATGACATGATTGATTCTTAAAATATTCAAAGCATCTAATAGTAATATTATGAATTGAATTTGGATCCTTTCCTATGTGAACTAAAAATGTACATTTATCCCCATTGTTAACTTTTTCCATTTTTTGAACCCTATTGAAGAAACTGTCTCAACTCCTCCTTGTTTCTTACTTGGTCTTTTGGCAAACAAACAAGAAGAAAAGCAAAAGTTGGCATCTTTCTCAAGTGAATATTTTAACCAAGGAAATCTTTCCAACCATTAAGCTTGAAATTGACAAAGATTTCCTTTTGGACTAGAAATTGTGATAAATAGGTAGGTGGGTTGTTTCAATAAAGACCAAATTATATATATGCCATGCGAATTTCATCTTATTGATTGATAGGATAATCTAAAATTTTTGGACTTATGTTAGGATCATGTACCAAAAAAGCAATTTCAATGTTTTATCCAATTTTTAGAACTCTAGATAAAGGCTGTTCCAAATTAGGCACCATAAGTGGCTAAGGTTGAACAAAATTTTTTACATTAGGCGCAGGCTCTGGATTTGAAATTGGTGCAACCAGAATAGATTATGTGTAACTGCCATTATTATTTCTCTCTTTTCTGTTGAAAAATAAATCTATTGTTGTTTTCTTAGACATCTTTTAACATTTACAAAAAAGACCCATTATAAGATTGAAAAGGTAAAATAATATTTAATAGCAAATACATGTTTTTTGTTAATCAAAGTTAATGATTCAAATATAATATTTAGAACATTGCATTTATAACTTACCAAAAATCTAACAATTGTACAAAACTCAAAACCTAATATAAAATGAATTAAATTTAGATGAGTAATTCTAAAAGTAAGAAATTATAGTTTTTTAATCACAAAACAAAGTAATTATAAAGGGAATAGAGAGATAAAGAAAAAGTTAACAAATTGCTTTGAAAAAAAATTGACAAGAGGAGAGAGAAATAAAGAAATATTTTTTTCTTGTAATTTGTGGGATTACACCACTAGTTGATACAAAATTACTCTAAACGATTGAATATTTTTTAGCTATAACTTTCACCTTTCCCTAACTAGTTAGTTTATCATTCTCCTTCAATCTTTCTATTTAAATAGTGCACAACATAGCATAACTTGGAGTCCATCACAGACTTGATGTCTTCATCACCAATTTCTTTATGGCTTTGGTTTCACTATTATAGACTAAATGGGCTAGTGAAATAATTATTATAAAGCTTTATATTATAGGTTGGGTGGTTGCAATTTAATTCTAAAAAATGAGTCATAAAAATGGAATAAAAATGTGTTGTAAAAATTGGGCTAAATGGTTTTAAAAGCAAGGATTTTAATTGAAAATTTTTCAAACTTCAAAAAGGGTAAAAAAATTTTATATATATTAAATTACAAATTTCTCAAAATTCAAGGTGATGAGTGCCCCCTCTTACCCACCTTCCCTTTACCATTGGTTATGATTAGCCCATATTAGACCTAATTTTGGTAAGATATGGAGGATGATAGACCTTGCTAATGGCTACTATGTGTCCAACTAGATTTTCAATTGTTGGTAACTATCTTCTAATAATCTAGTGTTATTTAATGTTAATTGAGATAATAACTACATTTTAGGAGAAGTTATAGACAAGTCTATTGAATAAGAGATGTGGGATGTTAATTTTAATGAAGTGGTAAATAGGTGATGAGTTCTGGAGTAATCTTTGACCAAGTTTGCTACGAGTTTTAAGTGGCTGCAAGCTATATTTGGGCACTCATCAGCTATAAATATGATGCTTCAACACATTCAAAGGAGGCATACCCCTCTCATCAACCAACCCTACACATCTTCATACTACAATATAACTTAGCTCTAGAGAGGCTTACCCCTCTTAACGCAACACAACACAACATAAAAACATGGCCTTGTTAAGCACTCAATTGGCTTCTAGGTTAAG